ATCTTCTCTCTTACAAAATCTCTCTCAAAATCTTGCTAAAATCGCTCCCCAACCCTTTGGTAATGTTTTCTCTCTAAATAATTTTTTTCCCTTTCTAAATGAATTCCTCTCTCTAGCCAAAACTAATTTAAACAAGTTTGAAATGTCACTGCTTAGGGCTACTGGGCGAAGTAATTCGGGTATTGCTAATGGGTTGGCGATTCGCCAATTGTTCTTCATCTCGCCTTCATTTTTCACTTTTTCTTGGTTTGGCTACTGTAACTTTAGGCGATCTAGGTTGGTATCACCGAATGACTCTGCGATTCGCCCATTATCCTTCCATCTTTCCTATCAGCACTTGCTTGTATCTTCTTTCGTACTTTTGGTGACTTGGTTGTCCTTCGCCGACTAGATCGACGATACGCTGAATATGGTTGATGCTCGCTGAATTTGCCCCCATTTTAGCTCTAACATTCTATAATTTTAGGTGGTATCTTGGCTATTTGGCATTTCACTGAATAATATTGGCGATTCGCCGATCGACATCATCAATCATCGGGCCTTATTTTATTCATTCCTAAGTCTTTCTTTGTTCCTTTTTGCCCAATAGTGTCCATGCTTTGTCTCTAACTCCAAATACCTGAAACTTAAGGGCTTACATCAGTTATTGAGACAAAATATGCATTTGAGGACACTAATTCTATTAAAATATAGCCTTAAATGAGTCCAAATTATGGACTCATCAACACCCCAACATAAACTTTTGTTTGTCCTCAAGCAAAACTCAAGTTCAGCAGTTCAAAAAAGATGTCTCAAACAGTGCTACACAAGACTCAATCATGAATGTACAGAACAAGGCTCAACTTACTCATGCAAGGATCAATTGTATACTCAAAGACTCAATGTGACACACCATTGTCAAAGTATACTTTCTTCAAATACAAGTTCGAGCTCAACCAAGCTATTCAAATGCCCTCACACAAAGAATGATTCCATATTCACACAGAAAGGTTTAATCATTTATAGTTCCGGAATCAAATGCAACGCTCGCTCTCACAAAGAAGAACACAATGCATGATTTTACCCATAGGTTTTCCCGTATTTTCCAATCAACAATTATTTCAGCTCACTCAAGATAAAAAAAAAAGGGCTTTTCAAGGCTTGTAATGGGGCTGAGTGCAAAGGTATGGTCATTTAGGCTCAGTGACTTTCCTCCTCGTGAAATGTGGTTCTTTCAACACTTCCTTTCCTCTTCTTTCATAATTTTCTTTAGTGATCATAAGTCATCTTTTTATTCACTTTCATGGATTGTTCGGAACCCCCTTTCTTTTTACATTTCTCATAACTTTATTTCACAACTTTTTCCTTTTCTTTTTTTTGTATGGAGGGGTTCCATTTTTTCTCAATACCATGGGTTGAAGGGGACTTTTCTTCCACTTCTTGACTTGCCTTCTCTTTTCACCACACCCCCAACTTAGATTTTTGGCCTAAGTTGGCTATTCGATCAACCACAATTCAAGAGGATTGTAGGTAGCGGATTAAGAAAGGTCATATTTTCATCAAGTTTCTTCCAAAAAAAGGTAAGGCTCAAGGGGTGTTCAAAACAGGTTCACACACTCACAAGGTAGGCCACAAAAGTGGTATATGTCAAATAGGCTAACACTCTTCGAAGTTGCCTAAGATCGTATCAAGAGATAGCCTTACTTAGTCGACCGGACCAGTGGGGAAAATCTAGGTGTTATCATGCATGGTTCACAGTAAGCTCATCACACAAGGCATCGACACCAAAGTCAAACAAGACTCCACACTTTTGCTAGTGTGCAACGTTCATCACAAGAGAATCAATTTGATACTTGGCTAGTCATAATGGGATGTAAAGAGTTCACATATTGACTATGTATCTTCACTTGGTCTCATCGTAGCCGCACATTCATGTTCGTTCGATTATGAGCACTATTTGAGTCATCAATATTGATCAAAACTGAGACTCAAATTTGCACAAGAACAGTTACATTCCACACTAACAAGGGGTTTTTTCAACGCTGAGGTTATCTAGACATGAGCAGTCTGAACACCTCCACCAAAAACTGTCAATATTGTCCCCAATGTGGGTAGAGTGCGGGTATTTAATGCAAATAAACTAAATAATAACAGTAAATAAAAATTGACAAGTAATGCAAACAATCTAGTGTGTAAACAGGTAGAGTAGGGTCACAAGAAATCTTCACTAAATTTCCCGATTGTCCATGGAGTGAACTGATCGCCGAGTGCTCGTACTCGCAGAAATAGTTCGGTGACTCACCAGGATGACTTTTGTCTCGGTCATGATTCCTACTACTGAAAAATCAATACATATTCGAGAAAACACTAACACTTGGGTTGCCTCCCAAGAAGCGCCTTATTTAACGTCGTGGCATGACGTGAAGATGCTCTCAAGCATCTTCCAGGTACACCACCTCAATTAAAGAAATCTCCTGGCATTCTCCAAAGTATAATTTTAAGCATTGCCCCTTCACCTTAAATGCAGGTCCTTTTTTCCCCTCAACTTCTATGGCACCATTAGTGAATACTCTTTTCACTCTAAATGGTCCTGACCACTTGGACTTGAGCTTTCCTGGGAAGAGTCTAAGTCGTGAATTGTATAATAACACACAGTCTCCCACTTAAACTCCCTCTTAAGGATCTTAGCATCACTACAAGAAAAACTGTTATTTAAGACCAGCATTTAGGGACGAGTTAATAATCTCGTCTCAAAAAATACATGTATTGGGAAGAGATTATATTCCCGTTTCTAATTCTATATGTTATTGTGAAGGTACAAAATCTAGTCCCTAAAAATTTTCAAACTGGTCCCAAATTCTAAATGTAGTGGTGAGAAGCGGGAAAAAGTGAATTTTTAATTTTAATAGAAACCCATCAGGCGCTAAAAATATACTTCATTAATTAAAATTCTTTGAAAAAGCCTCTATTTTTTCAATACAACACAATTACGTCACTTCATTTTTTTTTAGCACACAAAAGCCCTAAATCGATTTCATCAAAATCTCTGTAGAAGTTGTGCAAATCGCAGTTCTTTTGGAAAATTGTTCTAATACTCTTAGTTTTCATCTGATATTTCCCAAAATAGGCAAAGCACGGGTTGTAGGTCATCAAGTTCTACCTTCGCCTATGAGTTGATTTTTATCTAATCGATTCTTAGGTATGTCTCTTCTTCAGTGTTGATTGTTGTTTTTTTCTTAATTTCCTTTAGTGTTTGTTTTGTTTGAATTACTCTTTATATACTTCTTCACCAACTGGTGGTTGTCTATATCTGTATAACTAGAGAAAGATTATTGAGTTGGAATTCCTAGTTGATAATCTTGTTTTTGAACTATATCCAAGTTTGTAGCATAAACTTTGCTCATTGAAGTGTATATTCGAAAGTGCGCCTTTGACAACACTGCATAGGGTTACATAATGCCTAAGTGAAGAGAGCAATTACTTGTTATAAGAACGCAGGTTTTTTCATATGTCATCTGCATCATTAACATTTTTTTTCATTACAATTTGAACAAACTCTTCCTATGAGCAGCAATCTGTTCTTAATCCTCTGCTTTACTTTTTTGAGTGCTGGAAAGGTTTCTGATACTGACAATATCTTGAGGTTCTCAGAGAAAGTGTCATAAAACTTGTTATAGTCCTATTTGTTCTCTGAAATTTCAAGGAATGGTCCAGCACAATTCCTCACAAAATTCTTGAAAATAACCTTCAAGATCCAGTTCTGCTTCAACATGTTCTGTATATGTTAAGAGGAAGTTCGTCTACAATGTCTTTCAGAAAGCTCAGATATTCAGGCATCAACTCCTAAAAGTAACATTTTAAAATAATCAGATTATTGGAATACGTAGAAATTTGTTTTTGAGACACTTGGAGTAAATAATTCATGACTATAATGTGTTCATTTGAAGTATAATCGTGTAAGTCATATTAAGCAGCAAGAAATGGATCACATATGGGTAATTCACTTTCGAATTTGCTCGACTTCAACCTTGTATATTCACTGTTACATAACGTCTTCTTGCTCTATATATTTTCAACTCTTTTCTGTATACAGCTATCGGGCATGGTGTTGTTGTTTCCTGCATATGTAATTTTAGAAGCATTAGTTGCTTAACAGAGGAACCATTAGTCAACTAAACTTCTTTACACTGCTGCACAATTTCTTCTTTCTCTATTTTCTCACATTTCTCTGCATAACTGTCGGGCATATTGTTGTTGTTGTCTGTTGCACCTGCGATTAAAAAACATCATATGCTAAACAGAAGAATCATAAGTTAACTAGACTTTTTGTCGTTGCTGCAGATCTTCTTATTTCTCTATTTTCATACACTTCTATGCACAACTGCGCGTAACAAGACTTCCTCTGTTTTTCATTTTATTTCATTAGAATAGCTAATAAGTAAATGAATATGAACCCTCTTGATGAGTGTTGGCTAGCATATGTTGTCTTCTACTTGTAGAGTATTTCAATTGGAATTTTTATACATCTCAACTTTGTAGGTTCTTTTGATCATCAGATACCAATGTACTCGTCCATCTGGTGTCCTACATATCTACTCACTACAATCATTTCTCTCGCTCAATACTCTATATATGTTGATAAAATGATCAAGGTGTTTTCTCCAATTATTTGTGATCCCAAAACTGATAAAAACCAATTCTGCCACCATCCCATTTGTATAGCTCTGAACATAGAAAACATGTAACACATGAAGCTTAGTTATCGAGGCTTTCGTAAGCTTGGGTAAAACTTGAGTAGAAAAGCATGTGTTACAACTTTAGTCAAGCTTTTTAGAACATCTTAAGCTACTGTCTACACAACTCAAGTAGACTGTTATGTGATCACAACCCTCCATAACGATTGCTACTATCTGTATAAGATCTGATTAATTAGGAAAAATCCAGACATTTAACTAGACATCCATAAAGCTATTATATCAATTCTAGATAAAATGAGCACTACTATATGTATATGATCTGATTCATTAGGAAAAAGAAACGAAAGACATGTTTCTTCACTTGGCAAGCAGAACTTGCTGAGTCTGGTTCTCTTGTTGCTGCTGATAGTTCAGTGGCCTTCTGAAGAGCATGATATGGGGCTCTGGTCGATGAATAGCATAGTGCACCCATCCTCTGCTCTGCTGAACTCCAATTGCCCGCCACTCATTTTCAGATAGAAGACGATTCTTATGAAGCAATTTCGCTACACCAGGAGGAAGAACAACATGCCTGTACTCATAGGTATCATCAAAATACTTTTCAGAATACTGGATCTGCCCCATTTTTCAGTTCAAAAACAACTTTGTGTTGTGACGATCGGAGAAATGGAGACGAAAAAAAGAGAAATGGATGGAAAATGAATCCCTTTTATTTAGTTAGTTCTTGTTGATTGTATGTTTGTTTTTGCCTTCCTACCGACTTAACCATCATTGCCTCATAAAAAATTGGCAATGATGAATTTTCATCTACTTCACCATTTAGCAAATAGTTTTTGCTTCAATTAGCTATCGATGCATCTTTAACCCCTTGCAATGTACCAGCAGCTGGTTTAAACACTACTGTGATAGCTAAATCGAATTTCTCACTTGCACCTCTATTTTGAGATAGTCTCGATACCATTATTGACCTCACCAAAGTATGTTGAGCTTTTCTTCAAGTTAGCAATAATCGTGAAGCTTATGAAAATTCCCTAAAACATTCTAATAGAAGTTGCACAGACCTCACCTATGTAGAAGAGGAAAAGGTCACCAGTAAAACAAGTCCAAGTAACATATGTAGACATGTTTCTGGAAAGTTGAAGTTTTGAATTTGTAGTTTCAAGTGCATTTTCTGTTAGTTCTTCGTATCGCGGTTCCAAGCGATTACACTCTTGGAGTTCAATATGACGAATCCATCAAATGTTATGATTGATGCATCAAAAAGCTTTTCTAATAATTTTCTTATGTTATTGTAGCTTGTTGATGTTTCTGGAGAATTGATGAATTGTACACTTTTGCGGTGAGCGCTTTAACTATTTCTAGTGTAAGTTTACATATATTATTATATAACTACTTATCATCATTGCAAAATCTTGTTCTTACAGATTTTTGTAGATTGAAGTTACAAGTCAAGTTTAAAGTTTAGAAGATGCACAAGCTCATTATTATTTTGCTAAGAAACTTATGTAAAACTTAACATACTCTAGCTTGGGATGTTAGTTGATTAAGTATTTTTCACTGAGCAAATTTTGTATGGAATATTTTGTTAGTAGAAATTATATTCTCACTGATGAAATTTATTCATTTTATGATATGAAATTGATGTACCATTGGCGGTACATTAGAGTCAAGAATATTGTTTCATTCTAATGTTAATCTAGGGCTAGTTAATTAATTGCTCTTTTTAACCGTTAATCAAGGACAAAGTAGTTTCTTGTCTCTAAAGTTATTCCAGGACGAGCTAGTTGCTTGTCGCAATAGAGTATTTTAGGACCAGGTACTTACTCATCACAAAAAAAATTAACGGTCGCAAATATCTACTTTTTAAGTATGAAAATTTCTATTTGGGACGGGATTTATTGTCCCTAAAAGTACACTAGCGACTGTATAAGTTGTCGTCTCTAATAACATTTCGCGACCAGCTATAGCAACCCGTCCCAATTAATCTTTAGCGAAGAAGCCTTTTAGGACGGGTGGCGACCAGCATTGTCCCGTCGTAATAGGGCCATTTGCGACCAGATCTGGACATTTAGGGACGAGATTTCCCTTCCTTATAGGGAGTTTTTCTTGTAGTGCATCATGCCACTTCTTATTTTTTCCTTGTAAATGTCAGAACTTTCATAAGCTCTGAATCGGAATTCATCCAATTCTTTTAACTGTTTCACCCTCCCCCTTGAAGTCTTTGTCCAGTCCAGATTTAAAGCTTTTACTGCCCACAATTCTTTGTGTTCCAACCTAACGGGTAGATGGCAAGATTTACCAAAAACTAGTTGATAAAGAGACATTCCAATAGGTGTTTTGTCAGCGGTTCGGTATGCCCATAGTGTGTCATCGAGCTTTTGAGAACAATCGATTCTATTGGCATTCACGGTTTTAGCCAAGATGTTTTTGATCTCCCGATTTGACACGTCAACCTGGCCACTTGTTTGGGCATGATATGGGGTTGCCACTTTGTGTTTCACCCCATACTTACTTAATGCAGCGAAGAACCACTTGTTGCAAAAGTAGGATCCCCCATCACTAATAATTACCCTATGAGTGCCAAATCTTGCAAAGATATAGCGTTTCAGAAATTGGACGATGCTTTTTCCTTCTTTGTTTGGAAGTGCAACAACCTCCATCCATTTGGAAACATAATCTACAGCCACCAAGATATTTTTTTTTCCAAACGAGCTCACAAAGGGGTCCCATGAAATTGATTCTCCAAACATAAAATAGCTCCACTTCTAAAATAGGAGTAAGGGGTAACTCGTGCCTTTTAGATACTCCACCTTGCTTCTAACATTGGGCGCATTTCTTTACAAATTCATATGCATCCTTGTAGAGGGATGGCACCAGTAGTATCCACTCTGGAGAACTTTAGCAGTTGTACGCACACCACTATGGTGGCCTCCCACTGGCGACGCATGACAAGTATGGGGAATTCCTACCACCTCTTCTTCTGGAACACACCTTCTAATGATATGATCTGCACATTCTCGAAACAAGGTTCATCCTAGAAGTACTTTTTTAAGGTCAAACATGAACCTCTTTTGTTGGTAGAAATTCAGCTCATCTGGCATTAGTCCGCACACAATGTAATTTGCGAAATCTGCATACTAGTGGGTTTTTTCAAGGGAGATTGCAAACACTTGTTCATCGGGGAAGGAATTATCTATGTCAGTTTCAGGTTCTTCATTCTCCTTTCCCTCCAACCTCGATAAGTGGTCAGCCACCTGATTTTCGCAACCTCTTCTATCTTTGACCTCAAAGTCAAATTCTTGTAATAGTAGCACCCACCTTATCAACCTTGGTTTTGCATCCTTCTTTGACATCAAGTAACGGAGCGCAGCATGATCAGTGTGAACAATTACTCTAGTGCCTAACAAGTATGCCCGGAATTTCTCAAATGCATAAACTACCGCAAGAAACTCTTGTTCGGTGACGGTATAGTTATATTGATCACTATTTAGAGTCTTGCTTGCATAATAAATTGGGTGAAAAAACTTGTTGTGTTTTTGGCCCAATACCACTCCCAGTGTTGTGCCACTAGCATCACATATCACTTCGAAAGATTCGGACCAATCATGGCTGATAATGACTGAGGTGGATACTATTTTTTCTTTCAAGCATCGAAATTCCGTCATACAAGCATCATCAAAATAAAACTTCACTTCCTTCTCCAAGGGTTTGCACAGGGGGTGTGAAATCTTTGAGAAGTCTTTGATGAACCTCCGGTAGAAACCGGCGTGTCCCAAGAAGGTGCGAACACACTTAACTGAAATCGGCCGGGGTAATTTTTGAATCACCTCAACTTTTGCCTTATCGACTTCTAATCCCTTTTGTGACACCTTGTGCCCAAGAACTATGCCTTCCTCCACCATGAAGTGGCATTTCTCCAAATTTAGAACTAGGTTTGTTTCCATGCATATTTGGAGTACTTGCCCCAAGTGTGCCAAAATCTCACGACCGGAAAGCACCCCGTAGTCGTAACACGGCATACTTGACCCCGAAGGGATCTTATACAAGCCTCATAGCATTCATTCATCGCATAGGTAATCGAAATAGTACAAAATAAAAAACTTTTTATATAAAAACCATACAATCTATATACATTCAATAAGCAGCAGAATACTAAAGTCTCACATGGCCATCTTAGACAAAACTTCAACAAGATTGGGTCACGGCCCATTTCAATCGAAGAAAAATTAATAAATGTCTATTACATGAAGAAATGAAACATAAGAGTTCTTGTCCTCGAATCCATGAGGACATACCAAGTCTTGGAGGAAACTCTATCCAAACACTTCAAATCCTAGCTAGAATCAATCACTTGTCGGAACCTACACTTGTAGTAAAAATAAGAATAATATGGGTTAGCACACAAAAATGTACTAAGTATGATGACCATGCAAAAACATGCTTTAAAATAGACATTTTGGTTGGAAACCATGCATTATGCCACTTTTTAGAAATATCATGAACAATAGCATAAGAGACATCAAAGACAAATATAATCATCACACAAGTAGTAACATCACATTTGAACAATATCAAAATGTAACTCTTCACCTTCACATATAGCCTTCACCTCAAATAACCCTCATGCTATACCTTGTGCAATGTATGGATAGCGTCCCATACCACCTTCCACACCAAGGTACCACATTAAAGTCATCAGAAGTGAACTTACTATTCAACCTTTCCATTTCCAATAATACACATACGAAAGAGACCTAAACCATTAACTAATCATTTCATCACGTAAGGACACCTAAGATGACCCCTAAGTCATACTTGTGCAATGTGCAAGTATCATCCCATAATACTACTCACACTAAGTACTCCTTTGAAGTCACCATAGGCAAGGCACATTCAAATACAATAAGTCATAACAAGGAAGTAACTCATCGTATCATCCAAGTATAACATGCATCATTACATTAAGCATTTAAGAGTCAACATTCTTCCATAACTTCATTTAAAGTGCTTTCAAACAATAGTCATTAAGACTTAGAGAACTCAATATAGCCCTCTTGAAGCCTACTCGTCCCATGTATGGATAGCATCTCATACTACTACCCACACTTCATAGAACTCCTCAAGAAACTATAATGCACATCTCACATGATGGGAAAAAGCGTTTAACCAACAAATACCATGAGTGATAGATCCTGGAATCTGATGTACTATCCTACATCGAAAGGGTTGGTCTACTTTCCTAAGGTAAACCGGTATTTAGCTTAAGTGGATCCACTACCTAGACCGATGTGGGCACATGGTTAAGGGAAAAAGAGATTGCTACTAGATACCCCGCCTCAACTCATGTGAAGGCATCCCTCTCAAGAGATTGCTACTAGAAACCCCGCCTCAACTCACGTGAGAGCTTCCATCTCATTCAATATCCTTTCGGTGCTTAGCCTACATTCCCATTGAGTATTTTACCATTCATCACATTAAGGGATAAGATATTGTTACTAGACACCCCGCCTCAACTCACGTGAGGGGATCCATCTCCACCCAACATTCATTCATTGGATAGGTCATAGATTCAAAGATGAGAATAGCCTTTCATCTAAGAATCCTATTATCGTTCATTAGTGTAAGATCAAGAATATCCTTTCAATCAACACATCATTATCATTCATTAGAGTACAATTGAGAATAGATTTTCAATAAGGACTTCCTCATTAACGTTATCATTGAACGTCATTCACTATTCATTCAAGTGTGTTAATAGAGAGACAACCTCAAATCCTAACCCAATTAACTTCTAGACATGATCATCATTCATCTATTTAAAACACACAGGCATCATATCACATTCATATACACAACATCATCTTAATACTTCAATTCCTCACACTATGCCTTCAAGGCCATGATCACAACATACATAGGAAGTAAACACCTCTACCTCTCAAGTGGATCAACAATTCAATCACAATTCTAATACATCAAGTAATTAGGTCAAACTTGCCCTTTCAAGGCTATGATCACAAATCCTCAATTCATCAACAATTCACCATAATTAGGCATAGATGTTGATATAATTCAATAATCTAAATCAATCTGAGCATAAATCCACCATCATTAATTCATAATCAATAGACCCATTTCATAAGTCACGATTTAGAAATTGAGAGAAATCATGGGTTCATAGAGTAAAATCATCTTAAATCATCAATTAAACATCAATATAATCATAGTTTATCATTTGAAAACGTTTGATGCAAGAACCCATGAGATTGAGTAAAACCTAGGGCTTTTCATGAACTTGAAATAACTTTGAAACTTCTTTGAAATTGACTCTAGGGTGAAAGGTAACCCTACTTGAAGGATCACCATATCTTGCTATTGATTCCCCACGAAAATTGAAGAATAACCACCTTGAAATCCCCAACCCTAGCTTGATCTTGACCTTGATCTCCGATGGAATTTCTAGAGAGAATATTTTTGGGAGGTGATACGCTCAAATTACACCTCCCTAAAGAAGTATAAGCGATCGTTATCAAGTAAACAACCCAACTTGTAGGTTGGGGTCGATCCCACGAGGAAAATGGTTTAGACTTTACTTTAACCAACAATTATATTCAATTAGCCAAAGTACTTCCAGAAACAAAGAAATAAAAAAGAGGGGATCTTTTGAACAAATTGTAAGAATTCAGTAAGTAATCAATAAACAAAAGTCAATTTCGGTTGTTATCAAGATGAGAAAATTAACTAGGGTATACGTGTTCACCACAAGCTCATAACGCAGTAATTCTAGTAACAGCAATTCTTTCCTAGTGTATTACATGCAAAGTGATAAGTTAGGTATCTCTAAATCATTGGTCCGGCATCTAGAGAATTTCACCCCGCACCTTGATCCGGCTACGTGTGTATAATTTACTAACCCTTACCTTTACCTCATATTAGACATCATAATCGATGTTTGGCTTAGTTATTACTTCGCACCAATCGACACTAGCCTATTAGATAGTATCACACTAAATCTATGTTGATAATTCTTTTCTTGTTGATTACCTCCTTGATCCGGCAAGTAGCAACAAGGCGAGTTCTAACGCGTGCACTCGTTAAAAAGACTTTTAAACGAAAGAATTATCAATGCATGCAAAACACTATTCAAGAATTACTTATTTACTATTCATACTTTGTTAATCGCTCATGCATCCCACAACCCTAGTTGTGAAGTTTAGTTACCCATAATAGCAAGAACACAATTCATAATATTAGATAAAGAAATCATGAACTTACGTAAAGAGAATAACAAACCCAGAAATTTAACTTGAATTGCAAAGCCAAAAATCTTCAAAACAAACTTAGGAAATCAATAATTGTTAGGTTTTCCAATTAATCTCCCAAGTCACAAAGTAAAACTAGAATAATAATGTCTAACCCCCAAAAACGAGGTTTACAAGCCCTATTTATAGAAAACAACTCCTAAATAAAAAAGGAAACAAATTAAGGAAAG